TTGTGATGATGTCGCAGGACAGTAGTTCACAAGAGCACACGGTTGACTACTACTTTCATTTGGCATTGGCACTAATCTGAAACAGTGAAAAAGTGACTTTCCATTACTAAAGAAAACAAATAAAAGAATTATTACGCATACACTTGGTGAACTCTTAATCTCACTAGGAATCAATTTGTTTCATTACACACATTCGTTTTCCCTCCTGCCTACAACAGTTTTAATATTTTTACTAATTTTTAGAGTCTCTTTTATTTTCAACGACGATTAAGCCATTTGACTGTTATTTTTTCCCTCCATTGTTCTAATAGGACTCCTAATACTAATAATAAAAAATCTTACTTGTAAGTTTCGTTACTTTCGTCCATTGTGTCAGTGTAATGAAGTACACTGTCGGAAGGTTGTGTGTCGGGCGGTGCTTTCTCTTGAACAGGCTCGACCAGTGTAGAGCTTATGCGAAAATTGCTCAATCCAAGTTTGAAATATTCCCTCAGTAGATTAGTGCCCATGTCACTCATGACTGTTTTAATGGAGTTTTGAAAACATCTAGTTTCCACAGTGGATACGAAGAACAGTCTCAAATGGTCCGAGACACTACATCGATTGTGGCCTTCTTGGATGGTGGTCGCTAGTTCGGAAACGTCTTGTCTCAATGACTTCGACAACAACATGGCAAATATTTGTTGGTACATTTGTTGACTGCAATTTAACAGGGCGTTCAATAACAACAGCACTAGGTCCTGGAAGAGCATGGCTTTATCTTCGAATTTCGGTTTATCGAGCGCCCGCATTACAATCAGGATCGACAACATGAACATCCTGAAGGTGTACACAAAGTCTTTGGCTCCAACCACCGACAGCACTTCGAAGATATGACTCCTGAGCTCACCCTCTAGTATTTGTCTGTGCTTGTCGTGTATCTTGGAGGCGTCATTTAGCAATTTTACTTTTGTCTGTTCTGCGAATATGGCCTCATACAAATTGGCCGATCGGGATTCGAGGACATTTTTCGACAAGCAGATCATGTTCAGTACGTTAGCGATGATCACGATGTTTTCCTGGGATCTTTTCGTGAAGTACTTGGAGTACAATTCCTTCACACGATTCAGCGACAAATGTGGTTCGGTCAACAGTTGGTCCGACCCAGCCTGATACCTCGTCAACGTCTCGTCGGTCATCATTGTCTGCAAATCGCGAACCCGAATCCTGCCCACAGCATTGTCGTCAAGATCCTGCTGCTTAGGGATTTGATCATCATAGTACTCCATAGCTGCTGTCGTATCATTTACAAACATGGCTTCAAAAATGTCGTTTTCGATTTTGGGGAAGTCAGGTGTAGATACCAAAGTGTTTGTTCCGAAAAAGTTGAGATGCTCCGTCAAATCTTCTATTTTCACATCGGTTTTCAATTTTTTCTGACAAGGTTCGCTCGATTCTTCGGGATTCTCGTCGTCCGAATCACTGAAAAAATGTATGTATACAATTCAATGTCTACTTCTATTTGATTATATTTAGTTTGGGCGCAAATACTTTACTTACGATTCGATTAGGTCGATTGTTTCGCAATCCACCGGTTCCATCTTAACACTACCACAACTTCCTATGAATTTATTGGAATTTTTGCGAACCGTGTTGTTCGATTTCATTTTGTGTCTGCAACGCTGCTAGTCAAACATAATATTATCCGATATAAATGTTTTTATTAAAATGCCAAAAATATAAGTATGTACAATCAAAGCTACCAAACATTAGAAATCAGACTGTAGTTCGTTTGAATCTTGTCGTTAGTTCACTTGTCAACTGACTGAATGTTGTTTTTGATTTTTTTCTTTAAAGATCAAACAATTCAAACTAAATCTTTGCCATTGACGCAACTAGAGAGGGGGGCTAGGAAAGTTTAAATTCTTCTAAACTCGTTCTCAAGTAAGGTTTATAGTTTTTACTACAATTCCAAGGAAGTTTTCAGGGATTTTAAAAGGTCTGAACTTTCTTAAGTTAGGTCACTGACTTGACGCCAATAACCTTTGCCTACATTTGAGTTAGGTTAGGAAGTAAGTTAGAACATTATTAGTGTTTCCTAATTTATTATTAATTTTAAGTAAATAAATAATTTAGGTAATTAAGGAGTTGAAACCTCCACAAATAAATTGCAACTTGAAAAATTATAAATTACACGTTGGTAATTGCTTCGTTTATTTTAAGGGATTCATTTTTATTATTTATATATATTATTCTGTTTTTTTTTTTAAATATTACTGTAAACATTCCTTTATCTGAATTAAAGTTATGAACTTTTTCTATTTTTGGTATAAATTAAAATCGTACAGCAACGTCTTTCGATATAAAACTCAGCTTCAATTTATTATTTGTGTTTCTTTTTCATAAAACGAGGTGTTTGCTGTGTAGCATCTCATATAAATTACACTTGTTTGTTTATATTAAAACATTTTCTCTTAAAAGCCAAATAGTTGTATGAAAATGTTAGATTGGGGTAATTCAACCAATTAAAATGGGTATTAACTCGTTAAAAACTTTAAAGTTAGGTATTTTTTTTTTTAAAGAATTACTAAACAACCAGACAATTAAAAAGCCAGTAGAGTGGGGTCGTAGAGGTCACAAGTCTACAGATTTTATTATAACTGAAAGTGATAAAATCACTTTTAAATAAACGCTTCGATGCGAATCTGTGGATAGTATGTTCAAACTAGTTATAGTTATGTGATATTTCAATCTGCGAAAGTTTCAACACATTCATAGTTAAAATGGTTTAGAAGATATCGTGGGACCAGTAATAATGTACTTAAAATTTAATATTTAGTCTTGTGCAGGGTGGATACGATAAGGGTTGATCGTCTGTCTATAAAAATGTACTGTCATAGTTACCCATATATCGTAATAAACAATATAATGAAAATATTTTCATTACCTGTTGACTGTTGATTCACACACACACATAGCAACCAAGAAACTGACTACGGTCAAAGTGTAAATTTACCCTATTTTTGGGGGTTTTCCTTAATAAAAAAAAAAAATTGACTACAGATTTTTAAGAAAATTGTATATGTTATAGTTCCATTTTAGATCTACCTTTGGTCTAATTTTCATATCTAAATCTCTAAAACTTTGCTTGAAAAAGTGAAATAAAGAAAAAAATTCTATCCCTTCTAAGGGAAAGGGTTTATGATATTTTTTTGGTTTGTTAATGTTTATCGATAGTACTATGTTTGAAAAACAATTCACATAAACTTGGAACATTTTTGACTATTTTTAAAAAAGTTATAGAGCATCGTAATTTAAAGTTGAAAAGTTTGTAAAGTTTTTAGGAGTTTTTCTCGATTTTGATGGGAAAGGGGTGACTTTTTTTAATTTTTAGCCGGATAAAGTACCTTGCAGGTATGATTTCTGATCTATAGAGTTGCTACACGAAGAAATCGGTTCAGCGATTTACGAGATATCGAGGGTCCAGACACAAAAAAAAAAAAAAACACATCATTGTAAAAACAATACCTTCTCAGCTCCGCATCGAAGCTAAAAACTATAGAACAATCAATAAAACAAAAAATACCTATGTGCTAAAACTACATAGAGTAATAATAAAAAATGTAAGGTTTAGTTTTAAGCCATTTTTTTTTAATTTGCAGTCTAAAATTATTTTTTCTACGTTCAGTTCATCTGAAGCGAGCTCTTTTTATGTTGTTTAAAACGTCTCTATGAAACCAAATTTTTGTAGAAATAAAGCGCAACAAAACCCGACCTAAACATTATTCTTTGGTAGGGTTTTCTTAGGTTAAAAAAAATCCGTACTCACCTAGGGTGTGTCGACAGGAACGAACGGGCTGGTGTTGGTACAGAAACGCGCTCTCTTCTACACACTACAAAGGCAACTGTGCAGTCTGGGTCGGCCAGCGCTGAGAGCAAGCAATAGGGTGGCTGTACAAAGATTATTGATCCGAGGGTGGCAGTACTTGTTGTACAGACTGTTGTCGTTTGCGCCAGAAAATGTCGGATAACGCCGTCCACTTTACAAGTCTGGGGCGAATGACCTTTTATATCAATTCACACTTAAGCGTTTCCTCCGAGTAGCTCTATTTTTTAAAAATTATTATTAAAAAATTGAAATCCGTCCATCAGATACGCCATAAAATGGCTTCTACAAAAGTCATTTTTTTTTTATCAAACTTTCGCCGTAATTCGAAGAAAAATAACTTGGACGTCTTATAGCTAGAAAAACTTAATATTAGTTTACCTTAAAATTATTAGCCAATATTGATCAATTGTTGTCGATTGTATTGCCTAACCATTGCCCCTTAATAAATAGTGGTTTCCGTTGCCCTTATGCCGCGTTATGGTTGTTAATCGGCTGGTGAAAACCAAGACCAATTCTACGGAATTCATAAACAATAAGATATGAACAATAATAATTAATAAAAAAAAAAAGTCTGATTTATGATGGCATGAAACATTTTCACAACATGCGCCTGAAAGTATTTTTTTAGGCAAAATTCTACACACATACACAATATATAATGTTGCTTATGGAGATTTCATGGTATTGTCTTAGGATTTGCAAGAGAGGACTTAACATAGGTTATAACTTTAGTAGTAAAAACTTAATAGGCAATCTTAGTTGTATAATATTATATTACTGTTTTTTTTTTGGTTTTTCCTACGGCTTACAATTTCATAGTTCAATCGATAGTAGCCTTTAAAAAAAAAAACACTAATATTTCAGCTCAATTCTAAGTACTTCCTAATTAATTTTACTATTAACAATACCGGGTGATTCGTTATGGATAAGACACTCATTTTCTCGAAAAATAAATGCTATTTTGTAGTTTTTCTTTTTTAAAACATTTGATTTGTGATAATTTTAAATATTACAAAATTATACAAAATATTTACTTTTTTGTGAACTCTATCGACGTTTGAAACTTAAATGGTATGGTATATATATTTTTTTAAATTAAGAATAACTTGCTAATAATATTGACCGATGATCAGTTTGGAATAATTACTTATTTATTTTTAATATTTTTCGGATACCAGTTGAACGGGTTAATTCACTCTCACAAAGAAATTGACAAAACAAACTTTTTCAAGTAATTGAGAAGTTTTTAATGTAAATGTGATTTTTTTTTATAATGAACAATCATTTAAATATTTATTTTTGTAAGGATTATTCATGAACCGTATCTACGTAAGTTGTACAAATAAATTAGTTTCGTTCATTCACAATCGTACAAACGTTATTAAGTCTAACCGATTCCCTTATGTTATAAGTTATTACAATTAGGTTTCTTAATAAAATAATGTTTCAAATTGATGCAGTTTTACCGTTACATTTAAAATAAACATGAAATTTGTATTAACAATAGTATTGTTAATACATTTATTAACTATTGTTAATAAATTGTAAATAGGAAAATAATAATAGTACTAGCTAAGTCTCTAACATGCAAAAAATAAAAATAATAATAATTCCAACAATTTAGGAAGCGAACATTAGGTGTTACAGTTTAAAAACTAAGTATAGTTTGTACACAAATATAAAATGAAACTTAAAAGTGCTTATAGAAATAATTTCTAACAGTATGTACTTGAAAAATAAAAATGTTGTCTTTAAATTAACCCGGTGATTTAATTCTAAGGCGACGCTCAACTTTACAAAATATATTATTATATTTAATCTTTTAGAAAATAATTAACATATATTATAAGTACCGAGTATAAATATTTGTGGAATATACGTGTAATTAAATCATATTTTATAATATGTTTGGGTAATCGATATCACAAAAATAGTAATTACATTTATCACATTATACACTTTCATACGATTCGACGTCGTAATTCTGTGTTAAATCGTTAAACGCGATTTCACTATACATCAAACACTGTATAAAGTGCATAAAAATAGAATAATTTAGGCAGAGCTATTGTGTAACATTAACGGCGATGTCAGTCCATCTTTTCGGTACGTATTTGCCAAAATTGTGTGCGGTATTTTATCCAAATCGTCAATACGTCGAATCCCATTTGTAGCCAACTCCATACAGGAACAATTTTTGAGCCTACAATAACAAAACAGAAAAAAGAACCCTTTAGACTTTTTTTTCTATAATATCATGTCAAATGACTTGTACAGAAGGGCTAGTTAAATAATACATATTTCAATAACTATCGATATTGTTATAGTATAACTATTCCGATAAGTTGTTAATATATTTAAACAAATTTATTGAGGGGAAGAAAACAATTCCTGCGTAAATAAATATAATGTTTGTTGAAAGTACCTTCTATTTCTGTCCAATTGACAGACACTTCGGCTAAGCTCATGTTTAATTTTTCTGCGATGAACAACATCTCTACGTCGAAAGCCCTAAAAAAAAAAAAAACACCAATTATTAGACATAAAACAATACTGGAATGTCTACGAATAAATGTACAATCAAATAATTTTTAAATATTCGAAGAAATTAAAGTATTTGAAAATGAAGAGTAAATTTGTCAAACGTTCTAAGTGCCTAAGTATAAAAATTGAACTTTATAATTTGATTTGTATTTTATTCATTACTGAAAACACTTTAACATATTTTTGAGTTTTAAATATGATTGCTTTTTGTTATAAATAACTATTCCTTACTTGAAAAATGTACAAAATTGTTTCCGGTAATGAATAAAATACAAATCAAATTATAAAGTTCAATTTTTATACTTGGCACTTAGAACGATTGACAAATTCACTCTTCAAATATACTTTAAAGGTATTAGTATTTGTTATTGAATACTTAGGGTTTATATATTTTTTTTAACCGTTATATTTGCCAATTGTCCAATTGTCAAGTATAAATCAATCCAATTGCTGATCAACGGTTATTTTATTTAGGATAAAATATTTGTTTAATACTTAGTAAATAATATGATGTATTAAAAATTAAGTTAATTTTATTGTTTCTATAAAAAAAAATGTAATTTATATTAAACTTTTCTGTTTTATTTATATTAAATTACGGTTAAAATGTGCCGTATACTTACTTGAATTTTTTTAAGAAATAATTTTTAAATACAAAAAATAAAAAACATTTTCGAGTATACATAAAATTTAAATACAAACACAATGTTATCTTACCAACGGTCTACGTGTAAATTGCTGAACAAAACGCGGGCGGCCGGTCGGGTGAACATTTTGAAACCGCACTGCGTGTCTCTTATCGTACGAACTCCGAATGTCCAGACCAGAGTGTGAAACCCGTGCATTAATACAGTGCGAAATATGCTTCTCGTAGCAACAGCGTCTTGTTCTAAATGTGCACGAGATCCGCAAACTACGGCACATACGTTGTCGCTGTTGTCTGAACCGGATTCTATAATGCAATTAATGTAAATGCTCTTAATAAAAATTGACAAATTTATTACACTTAACGGGACAACAACAAAGACGGTTGATAAAATTAATATCACATTTAACATCATTAGTGTTTTGTATTAGACCAGTTTGAAATCAATAAAAAAAATTTAAAAAAACCATCGGTAATTATAAAGAATTAAAATAATGGTTGACTTTGCGATAATAAATTAACGTGCATAATCCCTGACATAATCTACATTTACTATTAATTTGAAAATTAGGGAACTTGGTAAATAATCCCTTTTTGAAACAATCGTGTACTTAAAACTAAAGAAATTAAATTGACATTATACTATTGTATACGTATTTCAACGGTTAAGGACTTTAAAGCTATTTATGTGGAAAATAAAATAACATTTTGTAGCAATAAAAAACAAAATCAACGTGTTTGTTTTAATGTATGATTTTGCTTAAAATATTATTTAAAAAAACTATTTTTTCGATTTTAAAAGTACAGAATATTGTGTTTTCATATTGGGTAAAAAAAAAAAAGGTTAATAGTCTTAATGCAAGTGACATTAAAATCATAAATAAGATTATTTCTTTTATTACGAGCAATCATAATTAATTTAAAATTGTGTACATATTAACAAATGTGTGTATAAAAAAAAAAAAAGACTATTAAGAGACTACAAAATTAAATAGGACTCTTTTCCTAAGTTGTTCAGAGTAAATTCTTTAATATATTTATTTGAGTTTAAAATAAATTGCACGGTGAATGTAGAAACTAAAAGTCACAAAATAAATAATTATTAAATTGACAAAGATAATATTGTTACAAAGCATTTTTTTTTAAAGTTTAATTGTTAAAAGTAATTTTTTTTTTTTGATACTCGGAGCAACAGGTTTTTGTCTTTCTTTAATTTCTTAACTTTTTTATACACTTTCAAAGACAATATTTTTTTAAGAATAGTAAAACCCTTTACATTCACGTCACATTTAACAAAAATGATTAAGTGTAATTTATAAATATTTAATAGATTTTATTAAACATTTTTTTTTTAATTAAAAATTAAATTTTTAATTTAAGGAAAATCATTTCAATAACTAATTGAAATTTCGCATATATTAATTTTAAATTGATTTTTGAAATTCGTTATAATAAATATTATTTGACATTTTTTTTAAACTATTATTATGTTTTAGATGTACCTTCAAATTGTGACATAAAAATCGAGTTACAAATTTTTTGGTCGGTCATTTCAAAGGGATATAAATTGTTTACTTTTTATGAGATTATCCATCGCCGCTTCTAATTTGACGATGTCTTCGAATTTGGTAGCACCATCGGCGTCGGCAAATAATAACAAGCGTCCTCGAGCACTTTGCATTCCCTTTGGAAATGAGACAATACATCCAAATTATTTTTATAATAATATAATGGTACGTAACAACTAAGAAAGTTTGTAAAATTACCAGGCAAACCGCACCACCTTTACCGCGATTAGTGGTCAACTGCAGCAGTCGGACACGATCAGCGCCATACTTTTCGACATACTCCATAGCCACGCTACACGTTTTATCGGTGCTGCCGTCACTAACGATGATCACTTCGAATGTAGACTTGTACACGGTGGTCAAGTAATGGAGACACGAGTCCAACATAGGTCTTACTGTGGGAACAAAAAAATAGTAAACTTATGTGATCGGCTCGACAATCTTAACTAATTTTATTCTCTCGAATTGAATATTAATAATTGCACGACTTACGTCTGTCTTGTTCGTTGTACGCCGGCACTACTACGGATAGATCGACGCTGTGGTCTTCCGACAGACTGGGAAACCGAACGCTTTTGCCGTTTTGGTCGACGAAAAATTGTTCTTCGTCTTTTCTACGTCTGTCCGCGTACGGAGTGCTGTCCACAAACAAGAGCCAGCACGCCAGGCAAAATGACATTATCTGTAAATTAAAAAAAAACAATAAAGGTCCGGTTGGAAATCGGCAACGATCGATAGGCCAGACAAGTATTGTCGTTACGCTTACTACGGCGGCTACGACTATCCCCACTGAAGCGGCGGCTACTAGCCAACCGATCATCGTGTATGTAAGTGGACTTTGAATCAAAACTGCAAACAATCACAGCATACACGTCATTCTTGTTTTAATCTTTTTTTTCTTCCACCTCCCAAGTCTGTTTTGCCTGTTTAGTCTGAGTATTTGCCGAGTTTGCAAAAGCTCTTCTAAACGCGAAAGATAGATAAATTTATTGGAAACGTTGATTTTTGTTTATTACTACGAAATAGCATACGAATTGAGATAATACTACGAGTTATCAAAATATTATATTTTTATTCATACCGATTTTACCCACGTAGCCGGTTGCAGCAGCTGTTGGCCGCTACTTAAAGTTTGAGTAATTAAATGTTGAAAAAACCACTTAAAATTAATCTATTATATAGATTACGTTTGCGACGAAAAAGATTTAAATGTTTTAAATAGTAAATTTTTATTAAAAATGAAAAATTGACGGTTTATAAAAAAAGAGCTACAACAGAATGTTATGCCAGTTGCCACATTCGGTTTGGGTTCGTGACAAATTAAAAATAACAGAGCATAGGTAAGTCGGCGGCTGGTGACGACGGCAAAATGGCCGCGGGTGACCGCGTATATTTCGTTACCGGCCAACTGCGACAGCCATTTTGTGTGAACTGATAACGCCAATTGCCGACATACCTTTGTTTTTTAGCCATTCGTTATCGGTTTATTTAGATAAGCGATATCACGTTCCGTCGGATCAAAGCCGAAAACCAATTTTATTTTATTTATTATATTTTATTAATTTTCAATTAAATAAAAACAATTAAGTATTTTATTATACCTTCGTACGGTTTTTTAAAAAATATATATATAATAGTCTCGGTATTTCACACAATTATAACTAGGATATTGTGTTTTTATTTTTTTAAATCAAAATCAAGCGAATTCACTCGATTGTCAAGTGATAGAACGAGCGGTCAGAAATGGGTTGATCGACGTGTCTTTTTTGAAGTATAAAATTTCTCAGGACCACGAGAGTATTTGGAAAAACATGAATCTGTTGTACTATTTGTCTGTGTTGTTGCTCGTGGCACTCGTGTCGAGCGTACGCCATTACAACAAACGGCGTTTGAAACAGTTGAGGTAAGCCGTATTTTTGTTTTGAGAGATACAACTATAAATTTGTAATAATTGACTGGTTTTTTTTTTTGAAGGTCTGAAGTCAAAGAAATGTTTGAGCACGCTTATTATGGTTACATGCACAACGCTTACCCTTATGACGAATTGCGGCCGTTGACATGCGACGGAGTGGACACTTGGGGAAGGTATAGTGCTCGTCAATTTTTGTCGATAATAAAATGTAACTTTACTCGTTTTTCTAGCTATTCTTTGTCTTTGATCGATTCCTTGGACACTTTGATCGTAATGGGCCTGCACGAAGAATTCAACAAGGCGGTCGATCGTCTAAGGTTAAATATATCGTTTGACGCCGACATTAATGTTTCCGTTTTCGAAACAAACATCAGAGTCGTTGGAGGACTACTTAGTGCTCATATGCTATCGCACAGGTAAGCGCAGTGAAAACTTAGGATTCTTTAACAGCTACAATCAATATTAATTTAAAAAAAAAAAAAACGGAGTCATTCTCTTAAATTTTTAATAACTATTATAATTTTCTTTGAAACTGGTGATTACTACAAATGTTATTTCGGTGCCTTCTCGTTGACAGAGCCTCGTCGGACTTAGAAATGGGATGGCCGTGTAATGGCCCTTTATTGCGTATGGCAGAGGACGTAGCCAGAAGGTTGTTGCCAGCGTTTAATACGCCGACCGGGATGCCATACGGTACTGTGAATTTACGATTTGGCGTACCAGAGGGCGAAACAACGGTGACTTGTACGGCTGGTGTTGGGACGTTTATTCTGGAGTTTGGCACACTAACACGCCTCACAGGCGATCCCGTATTCGAAGAGGTACGTACAGTAAAATGCACAATGCACGCAAAGCGCACTAAACACAAACGTGTCTTAGGTCGCTCTGAAGGCGCTCCATTCGTTGTTCCATCATAAATCCAAAATAGGATTGATGGGCAATCATTTGGACGTGGCCACCGGACAGTGGATTGCGCACGATTCGGGCATCGGAGGCGGTATAGATTCCTATTTTGAATATTTAGTCAAGGGTTCGCTGCTGTTCAACATGCCCCATCTGAGGAGCATGTTCGACGAACTGCGCAAACCGATCGATGAGTATGCGCTGACCAAAGGCGGCTGGTACTTTTGGGTTAGCATGAACAAGGGTCAAGTGACGATGCCGGTTTACCAGTCGCTTGAGTCGTATTGGCCGGGGTTGTTGAGTCTCATCGGTAACGTCGCGTCCAAAGTGGTCTGCTGTACGTTTCAATTAAATCAATCGTTTTTCTAGGCGACATAGACACTGCAATGAAGGCCATGACAAATTACCACGATGTGCTGAAAGTATACGGTTTCACGCCCGAAGTGTACAACGTACTCAATCAAGACGCTGTTCGAGACTCGTTTCCACTGCGTCCTGAGCTCGTCGAATCGGCCATGTATTTATACAAAGCCACTCAGGGCGATCCGTATTTGCTGGACATTGGCAGCGACCTATTGCAATCGATTCAGCACACCAGTCGTACGCGTTGCGGCTACGCTACGGTAATTACTGTTACATACTACCATCTAAGTGTACAACGCTTGAAATTTTTATTCCAAACGCTTCTAGATAAAAAGTTGCAAACAGCACACACTCCAAAACAGAATGGAATCGTTTTTCCTTGCAGAAACCACCAAGTACCTGTACTTGCTATTCGACCCCGACAATTTCTTACACAACGATGGCAGTCACGGAAAAGTATGGATGACCGCCACAGGCCGTGAGTGTATGATCGATGCTGGCGGGTTCATATTTAACACAGGTACCGACGGTGTAATTTGCTAAGTTTAATTGTATTTTAAATAATTTTGTGTTGTTATATTTTCCAATCAGAAGCCCACCCCATCGATCCCGGACTGCTGCACTGTTGTTACACACCGACCAACACTCGGCTACACGAAAAGCTCAGCAAGGAATACGTGCCACCAGCGTACGCTTTTGAAGAAGACAAAACCGAAAGCGTCCACACAGGTATTTCTGTGGCCTTTAAAATTGTACGATGGACAATTAAATAATTTAAAATGTGTTTACGCTAAGGTGACGTCGAATACATGACCGATAGTCATGAATATTCCCAACAGCAACATCAAGACCATCAACCCGAGTTCAAAAGCGATCATCCAGAACCTTTGTCGAGCAGTCCTCCGACAAAGTTATCATCTCTGTACGAGACCGACGACCAACAGCAACGAGGAAACGACGTACAGACCACACCGAGCACATTGGTTACGGGCACCGTAGAAAAAATTGATCGTGACCATGACAACGATGAAGATGACGACAAAGATGATGTACAACAATACACTCATGTGCCGACGACCAAAGACTTCTACTATCGTCACGACGACTCGGACGACGAAGACGACGAACCGAGCTGGCAGTTGAAACAACAACAATGGATGTCGTCGTTGCAAAAGCAGTTCAACGGCACCAATTATCAAACGTTAACGTGTCGAATGACAAACAACTACTATACCGCATTTCGTTGGTGACTCGACAATAATAATTGCAAAATTGTGTATACCGAAAAAGATTTTTGTTTTAACAATTAGAAAATCATTTAAATATGTTAGAAAAAAACTTTTAAAAAATAAATGCTCATAAAAGTATTTTGAAAAAATAAAAAATTGGTCTTCTAGCCCTCGTAGAGAATTATGTGTTATACTATATAACAAAAAAAACTTGTTAAAATCGTTTCGGTAAACAAAAAAAAATTTGACGCTTTCGTTCCCCTCGAGAAACTTTGTCATAAATAATAATTTGTCAATTTTTTTTTATCAATTATCAATGATAAATAAATTTATCTTGAACAACCTTTTTTTTTGACTTTGCCAAAATAATATTATAATATGATATTTATTCATCGCTTCGCTTTAGAAAAAAAATCATTCCAATAATGACCGACTAAGTCTGTGTCAAAAATGTTAACAGTTGTTGTATTTTTTAACTAGAAAAATTGTAAAAATTAAAGTTTAATTTCAGTTCAGATATGTTTTCTACAAATTTTTCAATTATTTCATTGATTTTTGAGAATTGCATTTAAAACTTCAAATGTCTAAATAAATATACTCATATAATAATAATAAGACGATTTTTTTTCCAATACTTTATTTTAATACTTTTTTACACACACAAATACAATTATAGTTTTATTTTTGTAAATAATTTGTTTATAATTTAAAAGTTATTTCCACGTCGTATCGAACCTGTTCAACTTATTACATTTATTATATATAATGGAAGTATTTAAAAAAAAAGAATAATAATACACAGTAAGTTATGGGACACACAAAAAGTAAATGCATTGGGACACACACAAAAAAAAGAAGATAATTTATATCATTTGTTTTTCTTAAGTTATTAAATGCAATTGCCGTTTGGAATAAAATATAGTTAAAATTCGGTTTTGATGATCCCCAAATCACATTTCCAAAGTTCCTTGATGATTTGAAGGGCGCAATCTCTCTTGGCCTTTTTCTTCGATGGAAATCCTGTAATGAAAAATAAAGTGTACATAAGTATTTTTACAATAATATTGTGTCAATAAAAAAAGTTTACCAATGTTGACCGTTGTTTGTGTAACGTTAAACAAAACGATAGCGACAATTTCAACGTCGTCCAATAAAATATTAAAATATTATATATTTTATAAATGCAATCGAATCGATAAACATAATAAAAACTAATTTTTTGTTTCAGTTTTTGAAGTTTATTCTTGTTTATGTGGGTGGACATGTTTTATTTGTTGAGATATTACAATAGGTTATGTTTCATAATGGGTTTTTAAAGCTGATAAAAATAATACAAAACATCAGAAGTTTTTGTCTACATATTTATGAAATGAACATAATATAAGAGATGAAGATGCAAAGTTTCTAAGTGTTGAAAAATCATGTACCCACAAGTGTAGGGAAAAAATGATCTTATGTCGGATGGATCACACTGTATGTATTATTATTACATTATACACCCAAAAATTGGGCTCAGAACGGTTATTTTACAAATTACAATGAGACTTGAGACAAATTACAAACTGATAAGACTGTTTTTATTAAAATATTCTTAAACTTTGTTTGCAAACATCAACAGCTAATGTGCTGTTTGTTATAACTTTTGAATTGAACAAATTCAGTGTAAGTACTATTTAAAAAAAATGTTCAACACAATACAATAGGAGTTGTTAAACGTTGTCAGGTGTTGTCTTGTCTCGTGTGTGTCCAGATTTCAATTGTTTGAATTATTATCGACAAAAACAATAAGTACAGATACCTGTTGAGCTAAAGGTCTTGCCGTTTATCATAGAGACACAGTCGAAACGAGGAACTTTGTTGAATTGTGTGACTTCTGCCTGTCTTATGTAGAACATTATATCAGGAATCTTTTTATAAAGCAAGTCGACAGGGTTGTACTGGGCAGCGTCGTTTGGCAGTTGTTTGATCGTAGTCACTTGGCCTTGCATAGGCTAGAATTTTCAACAAAACCGCATATTTTGAATTATTGTCAATTTTTATTATTAATGTGGCATTCCAAAGGCAGAATATTAATTGTTATAGAAGTCTAAAAGCAAAAAACCCAAATCATTTCGGAGACAATGTCATAGTCCTTTAAAAAAATAAGTATTGCGTATGGTACCATTTGTCGTTCCTTATTTCAATGCATTGACATTCATATAAAATATCTATAAGTTTAATGTTAACTGATTTTATTACCAAACGCGCAAAGAGAGAGTAGATTAAACCCTGTACATTTATTTGTAATAATATGTAACTTTACACAGAAGTGACTGATAAACTACTACTGCAATAATGTCGTAATCGATTTGAAAAATATTAACTTGAAAAAACAGTTATAACCGTATTTTTAAAAATGTGATTTTAAATGTTTAACTAAATACAAGGTTTATCCAAAAAAGGATATTATGCCATTGTCTCCAAAATCGTTCGGTCATCTTAACGTCCTCCTCTCTTAAGACTATCTACCACTCTACGTTTGACTTTTAACGTACATAAATTTTGAACAAGCTTTGACTATAATTGTCTTGGTGTGCTGATTTGGCTTGGTGTGATGATTCGTCTTGGTCGGCTCGTTGTTTCCAGTTGATAATTAATTTGTGCAATCCCAACGAAGCGAAATGAGCCCATGGGAAATGTTCTGTGGGACCACTTTCAGGCATATTTGACCAAACAGCGTCCAAATTTAGCCCAGCACCATCGCCGTTAGCTATATAGTTTGGTAAAATAAAATATTTTATTGGCATCGTATTGTTATAACAAGGCAAAGTGGTTAAAATGTTGAGAATTTTACCAAACGGTAGGTACTATAGAAATACCGTTCCAAATTCCAATGGAAAATTATTTATATATATAAATTTTTTATTTAAAAACAACCCATACAAATAATTGAGCGCGATAAGTTTTTTAAAATTGTATATTTAATATTTGGCTTGGATAGCATAAATAGAGAAAGACACCTCAACTAATTGTATGTAGAAAGTTAAAATTTAAATTTAAAAAACCATCCAAATTGATTGGTATCAAGACACGGTCATTTGGATACTAAAACAAAGTTCAAAAAATCAAAACAAAAAAAAAAAATAAATTGTTCGAATAGTTTGCTTATGGAAACGTGCAAATAAACAATATTTTTTATTATTTCTTACCTAACCAGTCGTTTGGAAGACGTTTCTGTGAGAAATGTGCACACAACAATAATAATATTGTTGTTATTATATACATATTAAAAATGATTATTAATTGTGCAATCGTTAACTCCGAATAGTGAGAGAAGAATTTTTAAAAAGCAATACATATCTATACACACATAATACTGATTCAAAGTGCATTTGAGTAAATTGTTTTTTTAGTAATACAAGTAAGATTATTACATTATTCAACTGTCTGACAGACAAGTTGTAGGTATATATACCTATATATTTTTTTCAACTTTCAAAGCTTGTAAGTATTCAAATGACCGTGTTTATAAATCCCGAACAGTTACGTTAATAAAAATTCAATAAGCCAATTTTTGCTTCTCGACATTGATAGAACACACGCTTACAAAGTTTTGTATTCAATTGTTTCTCCAATAAATAGCGAAAATAATTCTCGCACGCCTTTTGTTTAGCCATTGACTTGTTCGCGTGCCGTCCCTTGAAAACTTGACCGTCCACCTAAGACAAATCCAATTCAATGTACCATTATATTACTATCATAACGGGTGTAAAAAATTTGAAATATTTTTTAGGTACATTTACCTCGAAGCAGGCAGTGTTAAACACACACTGTCCTTGGTCACACTTGTACACGTTGATGGTTGTACCTTTGCACAATTCGTTGAACACCATCAACGGGGCTTTCGGTTTGACCAGACGACGTAATTTCGCATTAAACCTGTTTCTCCTTTCCTCCCTGATTTGCTCTGTGAAAAATATATAACAATAATCACACAGTTAACAACACATACATACATATAAATACAGTTTAGGCATAAATATACCACCGGGTTATTAATAATAACAGTTACTATCAATTGGCAAAATGGCCGCGTAAGGGGATATCAATGTTTGTATTTTTTTTTTTTACTACTTCCCCGTGCGCCGCCATTTGTAATGATTAACCTGGTATATTTAAGCCACGACCGTGTGACCAAACAACATACGGGGTCTCTTTGGCACATTTGGCTCGTTTGAATCATTTGAATCATTTGGCTCATTTGGCTCGTTTGAATCATTTGGATCATTTTGCTCATTTTGCTCATTTGGCTCGTTTGGCTCGTTTGGCTCGTTTGGATAATTTGGATCGTTTGGATCATTTGGCTCGTTTGGCTCGTTTGGCTCGTTTTGCTCGTTTGGCTCATTTGGATCATTTGGCTCATTTGGCTCATCTGGCTTATCATTTGTAATAATCTTGACTAATGAAAAGGTGGAACTGCTCTCCTTGGAACTGCTCTCCTAGCGGAGGTTGGAAAACATCATAAAAATAAATTATCATCTTAAATAAATATACAAGGTAAATGCAAAAATTATTAATAATAAATAACCGTTGTATTATATTGAATTACTCGATTTATCCGTTTACTATAGATTCAATTAACAAACATTGTCGTCCATCTACATTTTATTAGCTTTATAGCTCGAAATCTGATAAAAAATAAAATCTAATGCAATGAAAACGTTCTGTTACACGAGTTTAGTAAAATTGGTCGACATTTCGATAAAGTTACACCTTTTATACACCTATACATAATAATTAGTTTTTGTATCTATAAATTAATAGTTTTTTAGTTTATTCAACACACAGTTAAACTTTATAATTTTAACGAATTAATAAACATCTAATTTAATATTTGACGGAAGAAATTAGTCTTAAGTGTGGTGTATCGTATAAAGCCAGACTGTACATAATTAAATGCATCATAAACAATTATGGGAGTTTTTTTATTTATAAGATAAACACATTAGTATAACTTATACCTAATCTAATTTAATTGCATTTATAAGCGACTATAGTCCGTGTTAAATTAATATTACAGATAGGTATATCTAAAGTAGAAAAATATGTACTTACTTGCAAATCTTTATATGGAAAATTAAAGTACCTCATAGGCCTCCTCTTCTTCTTCATATTAACAGCAGGTATAGGTACACGCTACTCAGTAGGTTACACACTTACTTCTTACACTGTACTTGTACTATGCTGTTCACCTTAAGATTGAAGTATTGATCAGCTTGGCCTGACGAAAGTCGACACCACTGCGCAGTGCGCATCCTACAGCCTCGACTTGCGGCGACGGGGGCTAGTGTTGCCACGTGTACGGTAATTACCGCGGCCGTACGGTAATTACCGTAGCCGTTTTGTCTCGATATGAGATAAGAAGCAATGTATAGAATAATTGCGGAACTATACAAAGAGCCACACATGGAAACAGTACTGCGATATAGAAGACCAAAAAAAAATAAAAAAGGTGGATATAGACAAAGTCGAAAAAAATCCAGTGGAAATTGGAATTCAGGATGGAGAAACAATAGCACAGGGATAGGGATAAATGGGAGCAGGTATGTCCTATAATGTGTTACGGTAATGGGCCTTTGAAAAACCGAAGAAGTAATAAAAAAATTATCAATTAGAGCGAATCTAAATAACTAAACAATAAATTTAAAAACAGTACACAGTTTTTGGCTATGCGACCGGACACAATTTACTGGAGTAAAATTTAGTATTAATCAATTTTTTTGTTTTCTATTACATTACCGACTAATTTACCAATCGTAACTTGGTGTTTTATGAATGTTATTGTGCACTTAAGAGATACTAGACATATTTTCCTTTATAGGGTATTCTGTACATTGAGCAACGGCTCGAGGGCGATATTGAGATATGAGTTATGTATCCCCATGTGCTCCTGGTACCTCGAGTGTCGTACGGTGCAGTAGCTTCTTCCCTTTTTCATCGACAACCGATCCCGGTGGATTTGTCCGAATCGACAGTATGCCGAAAAAACCGTTATCCGGATCGGTTTGCTACCAGGAGTACATAAACCGAGATGCGGCAAAACGACGGCCATTCGGTTTTTTGAATTTTGAATATTATACAGATAAAAATGACTCTTCTCCGTTGATTGACTTCTCCAAATGTCTGACAATTTTTTTGTTTTATGTTATAAGCAATAAGCGGACAACCGCTTATTTTGCTGGCCACAAGTAATGGATAGAATTTAAAACTGATATCAAATTCGAAATCAGCCCACCCAAAAAATAAAGTAAGTAATTTAAAGTCTTATTCACTATCGTTTGGGTCTATAAAAGAGCCACAAGACAAGAACCTGCTGTGATAATATGGCAAAACTATTTAGAACATGTTTAGGTAAATGTACTAATTATATGTCGCGAGTGCGAATAAAAATGAGGTTAAGTCAACGACTATGAATTTTTCAGGAAATGGAAAATAAGGTTTAAAAGAATATTAGGATAAGATAAATATTTTTTTTAATAGGCAAATAAAACAACTTTTTTTGTACTTTTCTGTATAAATTAAAACTTGAACAAAAAATGAATAACAAAGTAGCTGTTATAAGTTAAAAAAAAAAAAAAAATTACTTTAATCTTATTAAGTTGAAGATTTAAGTCAGTATAACAAATGACATAACTCTTGTTACACTATTAAAGTGTAAATTCAAAAAGAATTCAGTCGACCTATCACAAATTCCACTATAACGAGAAAAATGGTGACTCAACAAACACTTCTTTATTATTCATTTAATATTTAATATTATTTACACTTAGACTTAAACTATAAAGCACAAATGATAAGAGTTTTTGTTCCTTTTTTTTTTGGTGTATAAACTCATTTTGCAAAAAATGTCAACATTTAACTATTACAATATAAAGAAATGATTGATGTTTGCATATTAAAATCATTTAGTGTCTTTCAAAATACTATCTGCAACTAGTTTTTTAGTATAATATACTGTCTTTTATAGTCACAAATCCTGTAAAATTGTACTTGCTCTAATATGCATTCACACACACATTGAGAATAAACTAAACAGTTGAAGTGAAAGTCACTTGTACAGTCTTTATTTCTATTTTATAATATAATACTTAATAATAATAATTTGTAGTAGTAAAAAACAATGGGTAAGAAAAAGTGTGCAGTAAAAGGCAATTAGGTACATATTTTAAGATACTTCTACCGAGGACTGTATTGGGTAAATAACGTCATGTGTACCTTTGTCATATTTTTTGAAAAATCTTGATAATTATTTTATACATTTACTTTACATTTCTTCGGTTTAAAGACCCCAGACTAACAAAACAATTTTTAACTATATATAGGTATAAATATTAATTTTACAGATTTTTAGACACGCTAATAAGATATTATTTTATATCAAATAATTATCAACAAAATTAATACAATTGTTATTGCAAATTGCAATTCATACAAACACATATCCTTCCATCATTTTCCCACAGACCCCAAAACCAAATGAAAATTAGATACAAGCAACTAGTATATTGAGTAAGGTTAACTATGGTGTTTAATAGATAGCAAAACAATTGTATTTCCACAGGCACACAAGTTCCATCAATAAACTATAATTAATCTATTGAATTAAATTTCTTTAATTAGTATTTTATGTAAACATTAATTTGAAGTTACTTGCACTTATGTTCAAACAATGTTAACCAATTTATAGTATATGGACATGATTTCATTTGCCGGTGAGTATGTTTACTTGTTTACCAATAAAATACATTTTCATTTGTTAAATAAAACTAGGAGAAACCTAATAGTAGAAATTTTGTCACACTCATTTACTATAATGTCTGTGTTAACTCTAAATTGATAGTTGACATTGTTAAAAAAATGTTTATGTACTTACAATGAACAAAAATAACTAGAGTAAAGTTAGTTAAAGTCAAAGTACAGAGTAAAAAATAAAAATAAAATGTAGCTAGAATAAACGTAAGCCGTAGCCGTTACATTGAAATAATGACAATCCGTTATCGATATCGTACAATATGTTTGCATTTAAAAAAACCAGAATACCTATCAGGTATTTTTTAGATTCCATAAGATCTGAACGGATTTGTCACAAATAACAGCCAACTTAAATACACAGAATTTGTAAAGAAAGATAAGGTCATGTATTTATAACGATAATGTTCTAATTTTTCAAGCGATGCTTTCCGAATTAGTCCACTGAAGTTTTAATATATTTCCAAATATATAAGACCTAACAACGACCACTCAAATTTGAAAATAGATAATTTTCAAATGTTTTTACTACATCTTTCACCACAGAAATCTTTTTTTTTTGTTTAAACCACACCAATTGGATGATTTTCATCATTTATACATTTTTTATAAACTAGAAAAGGAATTGTAAGTGAAAAAAACAAAAACATCCTTTTATTTTTTTTTTGGGAAATCAAACGTTGTTTATATTACGACTAGACATAAATATTACGCGATACATTGTAGAACACAAACAATATAATAAGAAAATTCAACACAAAAGATATGAGCGTTATTTGGGGATATTACATATATTATTATACAATAATACGGGACTAGCACGGTCAAAGTACAACAAGTCGGGCAACGATAAGCAGGTAAAAAAGGGGAGGGTACATAAAATAATGAGATCAGAAATAAAAAAAATTACTCACAACACGTAAAATCTTAGTAAAAATTACATTACCGCGACATTTTGTCGGTATGAAGAGAGAAAAGCTAATTGGAAATTATGGCACATTGTTTTTATCATTTCGTTTAGTCGAAAGTGCGTTAGGGGATTAAGTATAAAATATAAATGAGATTAATTTATGTAGACGTTGTGAACAACACAGCGGTAATCATAACCGTTTGCCTCGAGGCCAGCTGGTCCGTATTCCTATAGATAACAAAAAATAAAAAATAAAGTCAAACAACAAATACTTTAGTTTATTAGACAATTGGATAATAATATATAAATATGTACCAGTCTGCCTGGTCCCGTTTTAGGTTTCTTGCCACCGGTGTCGGCTCTGGGCAAAACTATTTGCACGTCGCTCATCGCTCTGTACTTGTGCCAAAGTCTAAAAAGATTGTACACCCTATATGAAATGCAATGAAATACCCTATTCAGAGTGATAAACCGTTGTGGAATAATCAAATTTGAAGATTGCAAAAGTGTGTTACCTGATCCCGAAAAGCATGAAGTATGTGACGCAAACCAGTACAAACAACCAAGCCGTAGTACGCATTATGAACACCAACATGTGATCTAAAAACAAAGAGAAGGGTGAATTTATAAAATATATCGGTCAACGCTAACGAGCTGAACACAGACGACGGGTTACCTAGTATGGCGCAAGTCACTTCGCTGGACGGCGACCACGGGCCGTAAAGCGGTTTGTTCGGATCGTCGCGGTTGATGACGGCTCTGACCATGAACGATGTCTGTTCGACGTTATTGTATTTGTTGTAGCAATCGGCCACGCGAACGTAGTGGTAGTTTCCTTTATAGGACAACAACAATAGATTAGATTATTACCGACCGGAATCGTCGGGCGGATTTTTTAAAAATTCCATCGAAACGTTACTGTCGAGGTTGAAGGAGAACGTCTGGGTGCCGTGGTTGATCAGAGAAAAGAACAAAGCCGTATTAGCCATGAGGTCGTGCACGGTTACTCCGTATTGTACGATCACGTCCAACTGGTAGTCCAAGGGCGTCGCAGGCTTCGGCCAGGTCACCATTATTATCGTGTTGTTCTGGTAGAACAGATCCGGCCGTGTCAATTTCGGGGACTCTTAAACGACAAGATAAATAAAATTAAAATCAATTTATAAATAACAAATGAGACAAATCTTACGGTTTAGGTACCGATCGTTAATTAATACGTACCCGGTTTGACAGAGTCCGCAGTTTCTTTGCCGACGACCAACGATGCCATCATCACGGCCAGGACAACGTAACGTTTGAAGGTTGCGGTTTTCATTTTCACAAAAATACACAATTGGCAAGACAAAACTTAGAAAAAAGTCCAAGAACTTTCTGCAAGCGCCAACTACACACTGCCAACGGTACTGCTGCTGCTGCTGCTGCTGCCTGGATGGGTGTGGCTCATCCAGGGGCCTGCTGAACGATTCCAGGAAGGATATGTCAATACTGGTGGCAACAATAGAAATGTATTAAATTAAATCCCGGATGCGCAGTGCCGCCAGGCGAGAAGTGCCGACCGAATTGGGTCATGGTACAGTACAGATGGGCGGGTGTAAGATAATATTATTATTTTTTCACGAGAAAACAATAACAGCTAGTCCAACACCATTACTGTTAATGTTGTTTTTTAATAATTAATTTTTCATATTTCAACTGAGAAACAAATTAAAAAACTGTTTTACTATCGTGCCACACACAGGGGAGGGGGTGCTCAAAACGGGACGTCGCTTCCGGCCACAGGAAGTGCACGTTTGGCGCCATCTACGGGCTTCCGGAAGCGCGACAGTGGACGCTGTAATTTGGCCGCTAAAAGGCGCCACTTCCTTCACGCTAGGGAAAAAATCTAAGTTCTTTACTCTTGAGTAAGCTGAATTAGTGTTAAAATAATATGCGTTTGTGCATTTATTTTGTTACCTTTGTACAAATGTAGGTAGATTAAAGATAGGCCAAAAGACCTAAAGTAGACCTTTACTTTTTATATTTATTTAATAATTTGGAATTTTCATTGAAATAACCTAAAACTGTTTCGATTTATACATTTGACCCATTTGTTTAAACAATTGCCTCGGTTGATATTTTGTTTTTGTTGCCTTTGCTAATATTATGTGAATAAAAAAATTAGTCTCAGCTGCTCAACTGTCTTAATTGTCAAAGTTTCAATAATAGTCAACTCGAATGTAGCTATTAATATTATTGTGCATTAATAATATTTATTTTTTTAATTTTAACAGTACAAGGACATTAATTTTAATGTGTTACCACAACTGCAAGTGAATTCGTTCTCCAAATCTAAAATTGTTGTCAAAATGTACCTTCAACGTACTCCCACGATAATAGTGATCATCGATAAACGGTCCAAGTAGCCACTTAGTTTCTCCGGTCTTCGACTACGTACACGCTGATGTCCAAAACGCTCTAAAAAACAAAACCAACAAATTAAAACTAAAAAATAAATATGTTCAATATCCAAAACTCCTGAAACTTACGTCGCACACCGGTACAGTCGATCCTCGACGTTTAACGGCAACACGGTACAAAGGCTATTGGCCGTCGGTCCAAAAACAATAGTTTATGGCAATCGATACTATTACAATGTATTATAATTTCAATAGATTAATATTTTTGTTTTTTAAATACCAACAAACGGACTGAACTCCGTTGTAAACGTCATTGTCATCGTTAAGACTGCGATAGATTTTTTTGTCAAGTACGCAAAATGTATAATACAATGTCATTTAATGTACCAAGTACAATCTCTAAATTCGTGTAGGGTACTAGGTCAGGGGTGGTCAAACTGGGGGGGGGGGGGTTTAAAATAAATAAATAAAAACAAACTGTGAACGTTTTTTAGTCATCATCAATCTTTATGGCACACGACGACAATGTAAATAAAGATACATCGTAAAACACAACATTATAATAATATCGTAATAATAATAATAATAATAATATATATGGTATAAACAAAAACGGCAGAAAAAAAAAAACTATACATATAATAAAGTCGAGTACACATACTTCGATACATTTTTTTTGTTATCGATAAAATAAAAATAAATAATAATCAAAATTAAAATGAAACGAAACATTAAGCTATTTTCATAGAAAAAAAAAAAAATAATAATAAAATATAATACAAAGCTAAACATCATCCTACGTTTGGTCTGTCTTACCGAGACGACGACGATATCGTCTAATATATTAAATATATTATTATATTAACGCAATATTATATTATATAAAAAAAACACACACACACGCAAACGCATATATAGTATAATTGTCAAATTTTGAAGAATACAAAAAAAAAATATATATATAAAAATAATAATAAGAAAAATGGCAAAGAGTAATGTGCAAACATGGTCGTAAAGCTGACAAAACCGAATTTCTTTAAACACAAACTAACGTGTAAATAATTTGACTACCTTATTATTATATATAATGTTTTGTTATTATTATTGAATTTCGTTATAATATTTTTTACTTAACAAATTAAAAAAAAAACAAACAAGACTTTTTCATTTTGGCCATATCTTTTTTTTGTTTTTTTGTTATAATATTACGTAACCGTAGACCGGGCAATAATATATACATATTACACTGTATATATTATTATACACGTTTCTCTCACTTTATCGTCATTACAAACGGTCGGACCCGTTAAATAAATTCTCACGTCAAAATTTTTTACTATTCGGAAACCAAATAGAAACTAATAACCCCAGAAATCCGTTAAATTCTTTTAAACGACAAATTATTCTTTTCCGTCTGACAACTATTTAACTACTTACATCGTACGACTGACTGAGCATATTGTTATTATTGTATTATTTATACATTGAGCACACTACACTTATCTCTTACAACAACAAATAAAATATTATAATATATTACTACGATATAAACTAGTTTTTTAATTTCTTTTTCTTTTTTGGTTTACTTGCTATTACTAAACACATTTAACGCGCACACAAATTTCCATAAGCGTTTCTCACTCGAATATAATATTTACATACATAAATATGAAAAACATTTTGATATCGAGGATTTAAGAAAAAAAAACCAAGAAAGAGGTAGACATGTAATTTTTTGATTTTCAAAATTAGAATTTGTCAGAAAAATGTTGTCGACGTTGTATTATGTGGTCGAACGTCGTGGAATAAAGTAATAATAAAAATCCTCAAGAAAGATTTTGTGTGGGCTCGTCGAAACAATCTTAACGTTAAAAATGTAATATAAATACAATTATTATATGAAATACTACCCTTGGGGTATACATGTGAATTTGATCGTACAAGAGTATCGTTGTAATACACGTACACAACATATTATATAATGACTTAAGTTTAGCATAATATTATTATACTTAATTAAAAAAAAAAAACAATTCAATATGATATTGTCGATAGGACGACAGCCGGAGCGTTTTAAAATCTTGTCGCTCCGGACTTTGCGGCTGCCGTCGCGGCCGCGGCCGTTACCATGTCCAACATGACGTAGGCCGCCGCTGTCGTGGCGGGAGTCGGTACGGCCTGACAGTTTGCGCCACCGGAGACTACGGTTTGTTGTTGGCCGTCGCCAATGTATTTGTCGTCCGACGTTGCCGTGTTGTTTATCAACTGGTCGTCATGGTTGTTGTTGTTGTTTTGTTCTTGGTTGTGGTCCTTTAACGACAGAAGATAAAACGGTGTTTAATATCGCTCACACAGCGTATGTACAGAATTTAGAATCAGAAATTAGTGTAAAATCAGTATCGTACCTGTCGTCGGTCGTCGTTGTCGTCGGCCAGTCCTGTTTGAATGTCATCAGGCAAAGCAATACTGTTTATCGTAAAGTTATTACAACGTGCTGGTACATTACCGACATCACAATTAATTACTTTAATATCGCCGTGATGACACATCGGAATGTCGGCGTTGGCAGCCATCGTCTTGACCGTGTCGTCGCCCAAGTCTTGAGCAGCTACGACCGGCGCCACGTGCAACGGTAACCGTCCGGCAGCCGATATGATCGTAATGTCGTTGCTGCGGCTGTCGTCGTCGAAACAACTGTCGCGCAGTTCCGGCGGCGTACTCGGCAAAATGAGCTGTAGAGAAAATATTTAAACATGAACAATCATAACAATAAAAATTGGTTTTTCAATTTCACTGTTATCGTTTAATCACCTGATGTTTGCTGGACGAAGAGTCGTCGTCGTCCATGACCGCCACCGTAGTGGCCGTGGCCGGACTCCACCGTTGTGCGTTTTGGTCGCCGTTACAACTGTTGGTACTTCCTCCGGTGCTGTTGATGTGGCACGACACGGACGACGTGTTCAATGTGGGATTGTAGATTACGGTGGACGAAGCCAACGTATCGTCGTATATTATGTGATCGTCTTCCACGTAGAACGGATCGGTGATCGGGTCGTCGGTGTGGTAATGATCCTGCAACGGTTTTGTAGAGTTAAACATTAGATGTTGGTGTGGAAAAAAAGAATCTAAGGACTGTTGTTGACGCTTACAAATTTGAAGTTTGTGTTTAACGTCGGCGGCAAAACTACTTGTACGTTGTGCATGATTTTGTACTTGCTCCAGATCCTGGATAAACACAAATGTACAAGATAAGCACAATTCGTTAGCTGTAAAATTATCTTGTAAATAATAATAAAAAATTAATTTTTACCTGTTGCCCCAGTAAACGCATACCGTCGACAAGACTATGAGTAGACAAGACCATATGACCAAACGCAGCGCCAGTGGAAGACCTGAGAAAAACACAATTCATGACAAACACATAAAGATACTAAATAAAAAGGTTTTGCTAATAAAATGCAATTTTTTTGTTTAGTTATTTACTCTTCATAACGCAGCCTATGGATCCAGGTGACGACCATTGGCCGTAGAACGGATGATGGGGATCGTGCGGATTGCGATTGACGGCTCGCACCATAAACGAGAAAGTATGTTGGCCGTTGTTCTCGTCGTTTTTGCAGTTCGGTATAGTCATTTCGCATTCGTTTGCTGTCGACAAAACAGAAACCACGTTATTATTATTACTGTAAACGGTAAAACTAGGATTAATCATTGATCGTCTTCTCACAGTAGCAATTGTGATATAAATCGTTGGAGCTCTCTTGGGTCTGAGCAAGAGACTTGGACACGCCGCCGTTCTTCTGTAGGTTCAATCCGCTTTGATGAATGACGTATAACTGGTAGAAGTCCACCGGACCGGCCGGTTTGATCGGCTTCGGCCATTTAACGTTCACCCTGGTGTCGTTTATGAACTGCGGTGTCGGTTGGTCCACTTTGCCGGGCACTAAAAAAAAATAACAACAAACAAACTTTAAACATGTTTTTCTATTTTTTAGATTTATTCATTTTTTTTCCCCCCGTTACGCAAACGCCCACTCACCTCCGATGTCCGTTTGCACTTGTATGGGTTTGGAATGTTCCGAACACACGGTGGTGCAGGCCATGATGGATATCTTGTAGTATCTGTAACTGTCCAAGTTTTCGAGTCGACACTGGACACAAGATGGAAATCGCACACGTTATTAATTATTACATTACAATACAAGTGTTTCAATTAAGCACAAGTTTACCTTTCTGTCGGTGACCGTAACGGGACGCTGCGGGTACATTTGTTGCATTTCGTACGGCAGCTCCATCGAATCCGGCAGCGCAAACGCTTCGACGTTCTCGTAGTAATAGTTCACCTGGTAGTATCTGAGCACGCCGTTCATGTTCTTCGGGGCGGACCACTGCAAGTTTATCGACTTGTTCGTCACGTTGGTCACGTTGATTTGCAAATCCTCCACGTCGGGCGCTGCGAATGCGTTAAAAAACAATTAATAATCCCAAGCGGTTAGAATTGAACATTGTATCGGCACAAGAGACGACGACGTACCTCCTTCCAGCGTGGTGTTGAGCAGCGGATCGCTGTGCAGACCTTCGCCGTGTTTGGTGATCAACGCTATCATCACCATGTAAGTGGTGTAAGGTTTCAACATGGTTATGTTGCCCCGACCGCCTTGTGCCGTCTCGCCGTTGACGGTCTTGTTAAGCTGAGGTTCTGGTAACGATAAAAATGTATATTAAAATTACCGTGCGATAATAATTACTACAATTATAACGGTACCTTTGCAAGCGGAATTATTGATGGACACGATAGGGCAGTAGAATATGCGGAATCCCAAGACGGCTCCAATCCTGTCGGAACAGTCGAGTTTCCATCGGAGTTCCATGAACGTCGATCCGATCATGTTCACCCAAACGCTCTTCATTTTCCCAACGACTGTTGTACGGACAAAACAAAACAAAACACGTTATAATTTGCCGTACCGTGGACTCATGTTGTGAGGCGTATGATTATTTGATTTATTTTAACATACTGTTGTTGTGCAAGACGGTACACGATGCCCACACCATCCCGCTGCTGCTGCTCTGGCCGTTGTGGTAAAGACTGGCGAAACTCCTGCGGGCCGGACTCTGGCTGTTGGCGCTAATGGCAAACTGGTAATTTTGATTGTTGTTGACCGTCACGTTGTAGCTGGACTCCAAACGAGGAATGTGCACCCAGTTCATGTAGCCCTGTGGATTATAAATATTACTTTTATTATCAATTCTATAATGACTATCTTTGTCCACTACTTACGTTGCACTGGTACGGTCGGTCCTTGTCGTTCTCACACCAGAATATCGTGTAGTCGGTCAGCAGGCGTTCGGACTTTTGGCCGGTGTTGTGTTTCCAAGACAGCTCAAACACTTGCGGAGTAACGTTAAAAGCCATTTTAGTGAACGACAGCGGCTCGTCGATCTCTGGCGAAAAACACAGAAACAACGGTAACGATGGCGGTCGAATACAATTTTTTTTTTAAATCAAGGGTACGTAAAATAAGGGGCCAGAAATCTTATTAAAAGTGGTCAAAAGTGTTTCTCAAAATATTTATTGAATTATTTATTATTAGTCAAGCATGTCTGAGCATTTATTAAAAAAAAAATTAGAATTTTTCAGTTGTCTCTTCTATCTAAAGACTACTAAAGACTACTGTTAAAAAAAAAAAAAAAGTAAAAGCATTCTAAAAAACAGAATAGGCACAACTTAAATGTCTATTAAATCTGTAAATAATCTATCAATCTATACCACCTTCTGATTCTGGGACATTTATTCAAAAGAGCTTTAAAATCTATAATTGTATTTTGTTAAAAATCTCTTAAAACATTTTGCAAATTTGTAAGCTTCCTTTTTGGAGACATCAAAATGTTCAGAATGAATTTAAATTTTACATTAACAAACGCTAAACACTTAACTAGAATACATAGTTTAAACAAAAATTGTTTGAACAACTATTGGGCAATTTGAATGTGTTTTTTTCACACAGTGGGAAAGGATTGGTGGCTGTAGACAGGGGGAGGGGGTGATTATGTTTAATAAATTGCATTTGTTTTTTTTTCTGGAAGATTTCTCACTTTCTGTTTCGCTGGACACGTAAATGGTCGAGTTCTCGGCCGAAACTCCTTCTTTGTTGGCCGATGACACTACAAACGAATAAGCCACGTTGTTGCTGAGACCGGAGAACTTTGCGTAGGTCTTGTACGTTTCGTTGCTCTGATGGTAACTGGAATGATGAAAAAAAAACAAAACATAATATTAAAATGATTATTAAGCCCACAAATTTAGTTTATTTTGAATTTTTTTCTTTTGGAATACAATAAAATTAATAAATTAACTATAATATTATAGTTTATATTAACGCAAATTAAATGATATTATGTTACATTTTAAACTTCTCTCTTCCCCTGCCTCTACCTACAATCTCCTACCCTCCCATTCCATTCGTCACTGATTTCTTATCAGGAGCCATTTTTAGTTGTATCTTATCACTAATCCGTTATCTGTTATTAACATCCGGTTATCGGTTGTTTCTTTCTAATCACTAATCCTTTTTCAGTTGTCTGTTACCAACATCCGAAAGGGAAAGTTTGAATTTTTTAAGGGGGGGGGGGGGTGTCTTTTTAAGAATGTTTTAAACTATATACTTACACTGTCTGGTTATCGGCGGTCATGGTAACGTAGTAGGCGCGGTATTCAAACGAATCGCCACATTTCTCTTTGTCGTCGAGGTGTTGCCAATAGATCAACACGTCCCGGGAATTTTTGTTGGACGACGAAGGAACGCATTCGAAACTGCCCACGTCCACGCGAGGAGGTCTTTTCGGTACTAGACAACAACAAAGGGGCGGTAATGTATATTTTATAATAATACAATTGGATATAACTATCCGTCGCTTAAGCTCAGATGCAAAAAAAACACCTCTCGAGTGTTATCTCATTTTTTTTTTGCCAAATTAAGTTGGCGACACTGTATTTTTTTATTTCTACTTTCGCGGGCAATCCACACTGATAAAACGCCATAATCAAATATTGATAACACGGTTAAAATAATGTTATTGTTTTTATTGGCTTTCCTGTAAATTTGAGAAATATGAGATATGCTGTGGTGTGTGTTGCGCGCATCTTAAGCGACGATACAAAATACAATTTTTTTTTAAATTTTATTCTATATTTAGCAGCTCGTGGCCAACACAAAATGCACTCACTCGTGGGTTTGGTCTTGAGGGTAATGCATCCGGGAGCCGACCATTTATCTTCGCCTCTGGCCACCGACGAACGGGTGTAAATGCGAAAATCGTACAGCGTAAACGGATATTCCAAATCGGTCACGTTGTAATAGTAGAAACCGGTGTCGCGGCAATTCGACAGCTGTCCGTCGGCCAAAGTCGTGTTGCATATGTCGCTCACGTTTACAGACTGCAAACAAAAGAGTAAACACCACAAAATCAGTACAAAAAAAAAACCGAGATTGACCGAGCCTCTCCAAAGAGGGGGAGACGTGTAAAACCAACTATGTGGTCGGTAATGTTTTTGGTGTAAATCCACATTTTACCTATACAAAAGAAGCAGGTCGCCTCGCTAGCAATTTCTATTAACTGCATACTGAATATTATACACTATTGACTACAAATCGAATTAAAAATACTTATTCTAACGAGAAAAACTTATAGTACATACATATATTATATAGTTACTGCACAAATACTGAAAAAAGTATAAACCCGCGTTGCTTATAGTCTCGGTTGTTCATGATAACGTCCACTATAGTGGGGGGAGGCCGCCATATTGTAAACAGTTTGTGTGTTTTTCCATGATTTATCAAATATATATATATATATTACTGTGTTATTATCATCATGTTATGAACCTAACCTAACATTTTTTTAAATATCATGGAAAAGAAACGTAGCGTGTTTACTTTCCATGAAATTTGTTTACAACGTGGCTGCATCCTAAAAAATTATTATACCATGTAGGTATTGTATAGCTTGAATGTCATAGTGAAGCAAACAGAAGAGCAAAAAGAACTATAACCACACAAAAGAAAGGGGAAAAAAGTCTTTATCGTTAAGCGGTTGGTACTCTAATATGTTAAAATAATAAGTTATCTTATTATTTATCTTATTTATTTTTCAAAACTACCGAAATTTTAATACAAAAAAAAAATTATTCAAAAAATTTTCGAATAGGAAAATGTTTGGAAAAGAAAAAGTTATTAAATAATTGAATTTAACGATATTATAATATGAAATTAGATACTCGAACCAAAAACAAAAGCCACGTAAATACTTAATATTTGCATACTACTGTTGTACAATATTTTAAAAATAAGACCAAATGTTTTTGTTTGAAATAAAAAAAATACTTAATGAGACAACCACATTTTAATGTATTGTATAACGTTAAAAAATGTTTAAAAAAGTCTAATGTCAATGAACAATTATTTAATTTCCTATTACTCTCCATCCTTATTATATATTTTTAAGTGGGTAAAAAAAAAAGTATTTATTTGATGTTATCATTAAAAAACCGTTTCAATTTGAGTTCGAAATTGAAATTGTAATTAAATACATTATTATTTATTAATAAATGGATAACAAATAATTCGTTCAGTTAAAAACGTATTTGGAACACAAGTCAAAGAATAACATAACGAAACTGTATCTATTGTTTGGACTTCTTATTGAAATAAAGTCTATGTTGGGCATTTTTCGAAGAACTTAAGCCCGAGTTCAATTATTTTGTAAATATTTGTTTGCCGGAAAGTTTTAATTGACATTTCAAAACAGACAATGCCAATAAAGTCAATATGTCTTTACTGGAAATTCAGCTGGAAAATATTTTACTTAGCTTATATATAAATATAAACCATTAGAAATGTACTTCAAAGAAAAGAGGCCAAATCAATTATTTGGACAGTCAGAAAACGCCAAAACATTTTTTTTTTTTTAATGGTTAATTAATAAAAAAAAAATTAACCACAATTGGTGGGGCAGGCAAAGGTTAAACTTTTGGGCACATAAGAAGAAAGGGGTGCATAAAAAAAACCGTGTACTCACATGCCAATATTCCGAGCTGGAGTCCCATTGGGACTTGTATTCAATCTTGTGGATCAAGTCTCTTGGAAAATGGGCCATCGAACCGACGTACCACCTTAACATGGCGCTGGATTGGGTTTTCTCGATGACCGTTATGTTGGTAGGACTTAACGGTATCACTGCAAAGGAGAAAATATGATAAATAAAAATAGCAACACAACGCGCTAAATCCACAACAACAACGATTTGGATATGATATTAAATATACAGTGGTGTTGACGAAAGAGTATTATTGTTATTATTATAATATTTGTTACCGTGAGCATAATGGTGGAACCGGAAACTGTCGTTGAACGTGCCCAATACGTTTTCGCCGGATATGGTAAAGCTGTAGTATTCATAAGGCGCCCTGTATATCGGTGCTGTGGTCAAGTCCCAGAAGCAGGTGTTTTCGTTGGCGTCCGAATCGGTAGGGCAAACCATTGGGTTTCTAGATGGGACAAAATTGAAAAAATTATCATCACAGCACAGCTCAAACACCAGGGGGCTTAAAGTGGGAAAAAAATTACAGGGGGGGACTAATGTCTCTCCATATAGCTTAAAGCGTTCCATATATAATTTTATGTATGTCTAATGCATATATAGTATATGTAATATAGAAACAATGATTGTGTAACATACTCATCCCACTTTTATCCCCGATTAATGTTCAAATTTGTAATTTCATGAAAAATTTAAATCACAAATAATACAACATTTTTAAGAATAACTCGTGTTTTATATAAATTTAACATTTTGAAAGAGAATATTTTTTCTTATAATATTAGGTTGTAAGTAGTGGTTGTCTTTTAAAAAAACCAAAAAAATCACCCAGACAAAAAAAAAATACATCATAAAAATTTAGTGTTTTTAGTGCTTCAACTTGTACAAGAAAAAATTCAAATTCAACGCATGGTGGGGTGAGCATGCTTAAAAATATCACACATTCACACTTTACCTATATATATATATATATATATATGTTATCACTTATTGGCTAATCGAATACCTATTTATCACAGTATAGTAATTTACAATAACTAATAAAATCAATTATTTTTACACATATATTAGATAGTCCATAATTTGTATTAAAAAAACATTTGATAAAAGTAAAGTAACAATCGATAAAAAAATAAAAACCAAGATTTAATCTCAACGGAATTCTGAATTTGATTGACTAATGTTTGGTTAGGACACTACACCCCCAGAAGACAAGACAAAGAATCATAGCCATCAACACAAAACCTACCTGCCGCCAGCCCGTCCGGGCAGTTTGAAGGTGAGTTTGTAAGTGGTTTTCACAGGATTGTCCGGTTTGTTCCAGTGGCACGACAAGTTGATCCAGCCCAAAGAGATGCAAGTGAAGTTTTTGATTGGCAACGGTTTGTCTAAAAAAAAGAAAACCGTACACAAACGTTGATTACATTAAAAATGCACGTCTCGTTCTGCCGATGCCAATAATCGAGTTACCGAAAACAACAACAGTGTCATTGGCTGATGTTTTCACAAAAAGCTCGTTCTCAAAAGGAAATCACCACAAGCCGAACGGAACAAAACTTTTCTCTCACAAATAACGTCTCAGTTGGGCGGGGAAGGATGAGAGAGGCAAGACGGGGGGAGAGGGTAGGCAAGAAAAATGACCACCAACACATATTTTATGCGACTGGGTAATGTTTTCCTATATTAATATCTTTTACCCCTCCTCCTCTTTTGTCATGGACAACTGTCTCTTGTCAATCGCCCCTCACATCACAGCTAGCTCATTTGCCGACCTCATGTCCACACTCTTAACCCCTCCCCTCTCTGGCTAAAGCATTATTGGTCGCTTATGTTTTTTTTTTGGGAATACTCACATCCGACAGCCACCTTGTTGAGGCACACGCCGACCTCGGAATCCGGGACGTGCGAAGGGGGTCCGCTCGTCTCCAGGCTAGTGGGGGACACGGTGGAGAACACGGACGAGTCGTTGGCCCCGCCCGTGTACGCCTGGAAGCCGCCGGTGTCGTCGTTGCCGGTCGTCGTTCCCGGATCTTCCCGCCGGGAATCGTTCAGCAGCAACGCGCACCGATACGTGTCCAGACCGGCGGGCGGTTCAGGGATGAACAGGCGGGCCGATGTCGAGTCCACCGCGGACACATACTCCTTGGCAACCCGGTCGGCGTTCCTGTAGAACACCAGGTTGCGGCTGAGTTTGTTCCTGTAGTCCACCTCATCTTCGTGGTTCTTCAACAGACCAACGATCATCGGGTGGTCCACGTCCAGCACGCACGTTATGTTCAACGGCGTCTGGCTCTTGTACTCCAGGACGATGTCGCCTTTGGGAATGGTTCCTGGAGAGCAAACAAAAACCAATAAGCAACGAGGGTAAAAAGACGGGACTTTGGTGAGACATCGGATAAAGCGAAGGAGAGAAGAAGAACAGGAATTTTTTTTTTCAATCTCACCTCCAATTGATCTTATTCCAGGACCGCAACTCACTGTCGAGCTGACAGACTGGAAGGACAGGGAACACGTTAACAGTAGTACGTGCAAGGCCCATGTCCATGGTGGCCTGGGTAGCCGCCAATTGTGCAGGCCACTCGATTGGTATTGTCCGCCACCAGCCATATCACATGGTTTTCGCAGGCATGGTCTTATGATAAATACAACTGAAACAAAAAAAAACATAAATAATTCAGTTGGCCACAATATTTAATGTTAAATTATTCGAAATGTCAAATTATATATTAAGACATTTCTGGACAAAAACAAAAATTCTAAACGAGACGATGATTTGTCTTAGTTAGAATTGATAATTTTGTTGTTTTAAAAAATTATACAATAAAAAGACTGAAATTATTCAAATCTATTTTACTTAAAATTCGACAAACGGCGATAAAATTATGACAAAATTGTATTATTCCATACAATTCAAAAACGTTATTTTTACAGACAATTATTAATTTGATAATAAATATCCTTGGAACTTTTTACATAATTATATAAATTGTTATAAAATGGAATTTAAAACATTGAATGGGACAATGGCAAGTCTGTGGTGTTCATCAGCGAGCAATGCACATTGGCTCGCGGCCAAACCGCGCAACAAACGCTTTTAGAAAAACACTTCCTACTCGTTTACAAAAATACAAGACCAAAGAACAATTTTAACGATGTAGAAAACGATGTAAAAAAAAAAACTACAACAACAACAACGACATAACACATGTTGGCGCTGAAATAAAAAATCATCTAACACTCTTTTCCAGACGGGTAAAATTATATATTGTTCACAACTGTTTGCCGGTCTACTCGATATTTTTAAATAGAAAATATGATTATGTACATAGCAATTAGCACTCTAAGTTTCAAATCAAAATGTATTATCCTACCGACGGATACACTTGGGATGATATGGACATAAAATACAATATTATACAAGTACCTCTCAGCTCTCTAATAGTGTAATAATAATACCATTAACTTAGTATTTTTCTCAAGTGGCAAACAAAAGCGAGTGGTGGTGTTCTGTACTTAACAAGTTTAACTTGACGTTTACAACATTTGTACACCAGATGGCGCTAAAGTAATATAACAATAGTATAAATTCCAAAAAAAAAGCATTTTATATTTGCACGATTGGAGTGGTGTTACTCGCATTGTAATTTAATGAAATAAAAACAAGAACAACTTGGATATTTATTCAGTTTTTTTAAAACTTTTTTTCATACTTTCAGTTTGCCCGAATTTGATATATTTTTCAACTACATAACTTTTAACTATATCTCTTTTGTGTTAAACCCTAATGAACTTTAAATGGTAAACTGTCTACACTTTTTAAGTTAACAATTATTATTTGCTGAACATTATGACTGGATCGATAATTACTTTTTTTTTTCATTATTGTTTAAAGTTTAGGATTGGAGGTGCAGATGAAAATAACGCTACACTTCAGCCGACCAAAATTTTAAACTTTATAATTGAATAATATCCAAAACTAATATTATCAATCGATTAAAATGTTCAGCAAACTATTTTTCAACTTAGCTGTTCATAAAGTTTCCAACACACGAGGGATGGAGTTATATTTTCAAACTACAATATTTTATTAACTATAAACGTTTGAAAGAGATAAATTTCTTAAAAATCTAATGTCTTCTGAGATATACTACACAGGGTGATTGAAGTTGTGGGTAAAACATCACTGACACTGATGCACACATGATCACGCTGTATATTAATTTGTTAAACGTGGCAAAAAAAGAAAAGACAAAAGAATAATATACACATGCGTTTACATACAATTAGTAATAACTGCTGTCTTAAGGAGTAGGTCTTTCTGCGAAATTAGCCTTGATAAAAATACATAATAATATCGTCCATAGTATTCGCATGACACACAATATAATAACAACAACGACATTACCATTTAATGAGGTTTTTTTTTCTTAAATAATTATGCAACAGCTGTGTGTAAAATCGCAAAAAAAAAATAAATATAATGATATAATAATAATAAAATGCCATTGACCTAAACAAACCCATCGTTCGAATATTGTATTTACATGCGTTTTATTATTATTATTTTGTTCCATAAACTGATAATTAAATAAAGGCCAAAAAAAAAGGGTGTTTTCCATAAAATAAAAAATTTAACATTCAAACTTTTTGCTTGTAGAAACACCAACTTATTTAACTGGCCTAAAACGAATTCTTCTGCAAAACAATAAAATTGATGACTTCTTTGTTTGTGACTTCTTGTAATAAATAAACATGTCAATGTTAATTTCCAAATAAAAATTTGTACACGAGACACATTGTGTTATTAACTTTTCCCTAAGTTAACATAAGTAGAGATCAAGACGCTGGTGAGTGTGTCGAGACGGACGATAATCCTATCTTATAATAAAACAGCCCCCCCCCCCAATAAAAAAAGGATTACAATAAATTCAGCTTGGTTGGAAAAAGAGTTGAGGTTATTGCAAAGGACAAATCACTATTAGAAAATGTGTACAGTAGATCAGCGGAGATTTCCAAAAAAGATTAACCAAGATTATTTGAAAAACCCTAGAGAATACCCAAAGATAAATCACCATTGGAAGATTGCCCGAAAAATCAGTTTACTAGTGGCAGACTGCTGTTTGTGCTTGTTTGTGCAATAAAAGCATAATAACAAAACAAGTTTTTTTTAAAAATAAATTTACAGAAATTTCAAACTAAATTTTGCTTGGTTACCGCTTACCGGTTACACGGTTGCAACCTTGACTCTGTTCATAACCTAAAATTACCTTTTTTTGAATATCGTTAAATATTTTACCAAGCATATATACTTAATAAATATTATTTTTACAGGACGTCAATAACTTAAAAAAAAAGGGGGACAGGAATTTCATATTGTTTTTTTTATTAAAACCAATTTCGTTCGATTACCTTCTTTTTGTTGGTAAAAAATATTTTTAAAAACAAAAGCAAACAGAAACTTTAATGCTTTTCAAACGCGCACAAAGGAAAACGTCAGACCGTTATAAATAAGACAACAAAAAAACACTAAAACTACCGTTTTGAACGGTACAATTATTTTTAGTTTATTCGGGATAAAAAAAAATATTATCTAGGTAATACTATTTATTTTTTTCGAGTTAAGTGTTTAATACACGGTCTCGTTTGTCGACAGCCAAACGATAATAATGATAAGAACAAAAAAAAGAAAAAACAACGTTGATATAACTATCAGATTTATCTTAATAACGTTTAATTATTTTTCAGTTGGATTAGACTAAACAACTATGACTATAATTATTATTGTTGTAGTGAAAAAAAAACTAGCACAACGTACAACACAGAGAACAAAAAAAAAAAAAAAGATTTTAATAAAAACTTTTTAATTTAATTCTACTTTAAAATACAAGCGGAAAACAATCAAACAAGTGAATATTAAGTAGAAGAAGGGTCGAGGGAAATAGCACACCCTCGTGTCGTCGCACGTTAAATAATTGATTGTGTTTTTTAATTGTACAAACTTTTTAATGGCAAATGTTTAACGTTCATTATAACTTTCACATAATAAACGAGTCAACATGTGAACACCTAAGGCGGCGGTTGTTCAACAAGATTAATTGAGAAGGGGTTGAAAACAAAAACGGTCCAAGTGCCCTTTAAAAAAAAAAGTTGTTTTAACTTGCAGTGAAAAATACAAAAATCGTTGTCAACGGTTGTCATTCATTTTTTAAAAATATTTTTAAGTAATAATTTAATAGTGATATTAGAAATAGAACATTATTTATACTATATTATTTTGTAGATAAACCGGCGGCTGCCGATGATAGCGGTTTCAGTGGGAAATCGAACCGGAAGTCAATTGTTGAAGTTCGATAAACCCACTAAAGGCATTTCCAATGAATATATATAAATATACATACATTATTATTATTATATATATATATATATATATATATAATATTTATCGTTTCGTTGGTCGGTTGTGGTTTGGAATTTTATAAAGAGAGTGCATTTAACTAAATTTTGTTAGATAAAACATATAATGCAACGAATAATAAAAAACTACAAGCTTACTGGTTGAACATTTTCAAACATCTCACCGAAAATGTAGATGAATGAAAATTTAACCAGAAACAACCAAACATAACATAATACATGTAAATATCAACAGGTGGCAATATTAAATTTCTTAAGAACTAGGTAATTTCATTGTTATTAGAAATAGTGTTTTAATTTTTCTTTTTAGGGTTTTCATTAATAAAAATAAATGAAAAAATGTATAAAAAAAATGTCCAAAAAATATACCTTTAGTTTATTTTATGAATTACTTTTTTTCATTAACAATTTAATGTTAACATTAACAAATTATTTTAATTTTACTATTTTTGCCGCACGTTTAAATGGTTTTGGTAAATATTAAAAAAAATTGCGTTTTCAATATAACTTCATTAATATTTGAAAATTGTTTTTATTTTAATTGAAATAAAAAGGTGTATTTCAAGCAGTTTTTAAATTAACCACAACTGGAGATTGGAATATTAGAGAGTTTTCATTTATTTCAATTAAGGCGCACCGTTTTATGGGTGTACAATATTATATATATATATATATATATATATATATATATATATATATATATATATATCTAGAAAATAATAATAAAGAAGTTTTTAATACTAAACGCAATAAAGTCATGAACGAAGAGACAAAGTGTGATACATAAAATGAAAGTGACACTTATTATTATTGCTGTTTACCGCGCGTTTTATTATGATTAAACAATTTTCAAAATTAATATATTTTATTAATTTTTTTTTTTAGGATATTTTTCATTGTAAAAATAATATTCCAGCAATTTTCAGCTTATTTCCTTTTATTTTTTTTAAATTTATTCTCAGTCAAAATCAGACAAGGTTCAAACGATTGATATTTATTCTATAACTGTTATTTTTTTTTTTTTTACAAATATGTACATATAAATATCGGGTTTTCTGCACTCGCTTAAGCCGAATAACTGATTTTTTTTTTGCCAATCTATTAAGTAGAGTCTCGACAAAGGGGAACGGAGGTCGCAGGGTACTCTTGCACACAAAGGGATAGAGAGATATATATATTTTTTTTTACAAATTGACAGCAAACGATACGCGAATGACATTTTATTTGCCATTAT